TAATATTATCACACTATATGTTAGAAAGCAAACTGTGCTCTACACTCTGCAGGCACATGAACCAAAATATACTTTAGGCAAAGTAAAAAGATTTGAATTAGGACATGACCACAATCCTGGCATAGTTCAAATCAAAGGAAAAACGACAGGGAACGACATGAGAATGGAGCAGAAATTTAAAAAAGCCTTTAGTTTGCTTCTAATACCCCTTTGTAAGAAGTCACAACACCAGTAGAAAACCTTAATGGAGTTTCACACAAAGTAGATTCATTAATCTATACTATCTCCTAATCAAACACACGTCAAACATTCACAGCAAATATTGCAAGCGAATCTGAATGTTCAAAAGTATTGGTAAGATGAACAAATTAGTGAAAAGACTTGAAAACTCTAGCTAAACTCCATTTGACATGTCAAATTCAAATGCCAAACTTAAATTATGACACCCCCCCCCCCCCCCCCCCCCCCAATTCAAGTATTATCCATATTTCAGCTACATATATGTTAATTACTTGCTATCATTCCTTGCAATACCAACATCATAAATACACACACAAAAACTGTTCTCATATAGAATCAACAAGAACTAGATTCAAGAAAACAATAAGAACATCCATGACCAAAAGAAAAAGAAAAAGAATTAAGTGACAGCATGAATCAAAACAATGAATGGCATTTGGAGAATTGAACCAAATAAAGGCCATACCTGACCCAATGTTGCATTTGGGTTGAGACCCAATTCAACCAAAGATGGAATCTCCCCCGCTTCCACGTCTCCCCCAGACGGTAACCCCTTCAATTGATCCAACGCTGCCATCGTCTTCCTAATTTCCAATCCCTGAACTTTCTCCCTAAACCCACCATAATTCGTCGGCATTTCGTCCAATTTAAATGGCAAATCATCAACATGAAACAAAGTACTTCCCCAGAAGTACTTCACTTCTACCCCTTCATCCCTCATTGCCGCCTCAATCTTCTCCTCCGCCTTAACCTCCTCATTCGAAACTTCTCTGTTTACATACACTGCCTCGGCCCCAATCGCCTTCGCCAATTCCACTAAAACCATCTCAGGCTTCCCAATTCTCACCACAAGATCAGACCCTCTTGCCTGAAGGTTCTTCCTAAGGTCTGAAACCGATTCAATCAAGAACGAGGCGCGGTAAGGCCCAGTTTTATCGAACCCAGATGATGATTTCCCATAATCTCTGGGGTCGAAGCAGTAAACGGGAAGGACAGACATGGACTCATTGTTGGCTGAATTGAGGCACTCATTGTCGTGAACTCGAAGATCGTTTCGGAACCAAACGACGGAGGCTCGGCGAATTCCGGCGGCGTTGGAAGGATCGGAAGGGCGGCGAGGGTTTAGAGAAAGAGGGTTTTGGAGAGGGTTTGAGGAGATGGTGGATTTGAAGAATGGTTTTGGAGGGGAGAGAGAAGAGGAGATAGAGAGGTGAGAGAGAGACGAGATTTGAGAGGGGATTTTAACCTTGTTGGGATGAGTGGCAAGAAAAGGAGAGATTTTGGGAGGAAGGAGGAAGTGGGTAGGGAGGATTGTAGAGAGAGAAACAGAGATTGAAGCAAAGGGTACAGTGGGAACAAGCTGGTTTTGGCCCTCTAATGGTGTTTGGGATTCTGGGTCCTCTAGGGTTTGGTTCTTGGAATCCATTTTCAGTAGTTTCTTGAGGAAGAAGATGATCGGTTTTGGGGATTGAACTGAAGCTCTTTCTTTCAATCTTCACTCTCTTCAATTTCTGGTTTTTGTGGGTTTGGTGAGAAATGAATGTGTAATAAGTTTGATGGCGGGGGTTCAACTTTCTTTCTCGTTCTTCCCACGACCGTACCTAATTTTTTTGGGACTAACCTTCAAACTCCATGGCTTCCACAGAGGGAGGCTATGGACATCATTTTCGGAGTTTCAAGTTTTGGGGTTGGTAGGTAGGTAGGATATGATATGAGGCTGGTTCTACAGGAATTTGATAATCTGCAAAGACACAATACTAATTAGGCTATTTTCAGAACTGAGTTTGAAATCAAAATTTAATTGTTAATTTATTTTAAGTTATATTATTTTTCATATGTTTTATATATATTTTTTTAAAAAGTTTAAAAAATTAATTTGTAATTATCTTTTTTAAATAACCCTTAGTACCTAAAAAATTAATTAGAAATTGTTGAAATAATAAGAAATACATTTTTGAAAAAAAAAACTTAAAATTTGAATGTATTAAAAAGACTAAAGACAGTAATGCAATAGACCTAAAGTTTTGGCTCAAGGCTTATCCATAAAAAAAAGAAAATTAGAAAAAAATTTTAAAAAAAATGTTGAACTTAGCCAGTGGGCGAACTTAAACACCATATTAACGGCCTAACCTGATGCCGACCTTTAACCAAAAGCACCAGGGATAGTCAACAAAAAACAGGGAACTAAGGCCTTGTTTGCTTCCTATTTCAAGATATAATTTTTGTAAAAAATTTTAAAATTTTGTTTGGTTCAAATTTTTTTTAAAAAAAATTCAAATTCACTCTCTCTCTCTTACACATCAATCAATGATTTTTTCTCTCTCCTTTATCCTTCTCAATAATTTTTTCTCTCATACACATCTACTTAACTATAATAAAATATCAAATTATCCCAAACTTCCAAACTCCAAAACTATTTTCAAAATGGAAATGGCTGAGGGTACTGTTGGGCTCCTGAGGGCCCACCACGAGTCCCCGTTTTGATGATCCGAACCATTTAATATGTAGAACTCGTCGAGTACTATACGATTATAAAAAATCTCATTGATTGAATATCGATAATTATGTAATCAAATCAGTTTTATATATAAAAAAAATAGAAGGTGAAAAATAAACAGTTTACAAAAATTTGATTTGATCACATGGCTATCGATATCTGATTTACTTAATTTTTTACAGATATATAGTACTCGACGAATTCTACATATACATTAAACGATTCGAATTATCAAAACAGGACCTGTAGTGGGTCCCAAGGACCCAATAGTACCCTACAGTCCTATCATGGACTGGAGAGAAGTTAACCCATTTCAAAATATACAATTAAACAAACAGACAAACAAAAAATTTGAACTCTCTTTCCAAAAAAAAAAATTAAAAATTTATCTCCAAACACATCCTAAGACTTTGGCCCATGACCTTGCCAATTCCCCCCCCCCCAAAAAAAAAAAAAAACTTGTTAGAGCATTTGCATCAGGACAGTCAAAATAACAAAAAAACTAAAATATAACTAGTTTGTTTCTCCATCAGTCTCAACAAATTTTTTCTAAATTAACATTTTAGTAAATTTGCTACAGTACCTCAATAACTTTGTTGAGGCACTGTTCATTCGTTGCATGATTTTTTATTATATTTTTTTGAACAAAACTGGGCCAAAATCTTTAAACCGATCATCTACCCGGATATCCTGTGAATGCCCGTAGCAAAAGAAGGAAAAATGCCAAAAATTAGTCCTAACTAGTTGACCGGTCAGCGGCATTTTTTTATTTTTTATTTTATTTTTTTTTGCATTTTTATATTTTTTGAGAATTGTTTGAATAGCACCTCATCAATTTAATAAATAAAAAAAGAATAAAAAATATAATAACAAAATAATATTTTAATAAAATTAAATTAGAATAGAAAGTTTGATGTAATTGATGACTAATTAAAATAACAAAATAAATTTTTTAATTTTAATTTAAAGAGTTTGATACGAATCCTCTTAGAGCGAGCTTGAGCATAATATTCACGGCCCAATCTGGCCCGGTACTGACTCTTAATCAAAAGCACCGCCCAACTGACAGGGATGGTCAACGAGAAACAGGGAAGGTACCCAAAAGCAAAGCCAGCTACCAAGAACACTACCAGACTTTCTTTCAATAGCAAATCACACAGGAAAGAGGTACAACAAACTAGTTGAGAAAACAAGTTTTAGAGCCACAACACAAACCTCTTTCACATGGAAACTAACCAAAGGCCAATTTCTCTCATTGGGGCATTTTGAATATTTTAGTCTCACTTTAGGGTGTGTTTTTAACTTTATTCTCATACTAGGGTAAAACGGTTTTAGAAATACCATTTTCTAAAAAATGGCTTTTGAAAAGTCGTGTTTTGGGATTAAAATAATAATAAAATTTGAACATAGAAAACAGTTTTAGAAAAACCGGTTTTAATTAAGTTTTTAATTAATTCTAAATTAATTAAAAACGGTTTTGATAAAACCGTTTTTACATTAATTTTTTTTAATTTATATTTTCAACATAAATATTTTTGGACCAAAAATATTTTTAATAAAAAACGGTATTAGAAAAGTCGTTTTAGAAAACGTATTTACCAAAGCCGTTTTTACATTAATTTTTTTTAATTTATATTTTCAACATAAATATTTTTTGACCAAAAATATTTTTAATAAAAAACGGTTTTAGAAAAGTTGTTTTTACATTAATTTTTTTAATTTATATTTTCAACATAAATATTTTTTTACCAAAAATATTTTTAATAAAAAACTGTTTTAGAAAAGTCGTTTTTACATTATTTTTTTTTAATTTATATTTTCAACATAAATATTTTTTTACCAAAAAATTTTTTAATAAAAAACGATTTTAGAAAGATCTATAATAGCACTTTAGCCTAGTTTGGGAATTCCGTCCAAACTAGGCCTAGTTTGGGAATTCCGTCCAAACTAGCCCAAACTAGGCCTAGTTTGAGAATTAAGATGATAAATTAACTAAATATGGGAAAAGCCCCGAAATATAGTGCACATTAAAAAAATAAATAAATATTTAAAACATAAAATATTTATTCTCACTCTAGGGTGGGTTTTGAAAAGACTTTGAAATTTTGGAAATTTTTTTCAAAAAATTTGAACTAACCAAAATTTTAAAAAAAATTCTCAAAAATTATATCTTAAGATACAAACCAAACAAGCCCTAGGTTTGAGTTTTTTGAATTAAGTTTTTTGAAAACTGAGTTTTTTGTTTTTAGTGAATATTTTTTACTTTTTTAGATGCATTTTACTTTTTCAGATGTGTCCAACCTTCCCACACGAGAAAAAATAATTAAAAAAAATATTAAAACCATTTTTTATTAAAAATATTTTTTGTCAAAAAATATTTATGTTGAAAATATAAATTAAAAAATTAATGTAAAAACGATTTTTCTAAAACCGTTTTTTATTAAAAATATTTTTGGTCAAAAAATATTTATGTTGAAAATATAAATTAAAGAAAATTAATGTAAAAACGACTTTTCTAAAACCGTTTTTTATTAAAAATATTTTTAGTCAAAAAATATTTAAGTTGAAAATATAAATTAAAAAAAATTAATGTAAAAACGGCTTTTGTAAATACATTTTCTAAAACGACTTTTCTAACACCGTTTTTATTAAAAATATTTTTGGTCAAAAAATATTTATGTTAAAAATATAAATTAAAAAAAATTAATGTAAAAACGGTTTTACCAAAATCGTTTTTAATTAATTTAGAATTAATTAAAAACTTAATTAAAACTGACTTTTCTAAAGCCGTTTTCTATGTTTAAATTTTATTATTATTTTAATCCAAAAACACGGCTTTTCAAAAGCCGTTTTTTAGAAAACAGTATTTCTAAAACCGTTTTATCTTAAAATGGGAATAAAGTTAAAAACAAACCTTAAAGCGAAACTAAAATATTCAAAATGTCCCGATCAGATAAATGGACCCTAACCAAACCGCCACCTAACATTGTCACCAGAGAATCAGCAACCAATAGAATTGACTGGTACCCTCACGATCTTAACTATGTGACTCAACTAAATTTCAACACTCACAAATTATAAATTTCAAATCATAAATTTTTTTAAGGTTAACAATTAGAAACTTATAAATCATGTAACTAAATTTAAACTATTTTATCTTATAAACTATAAAGTAGAAGATTCTAATTGTAACCTAGGTGATCATAGAGAGAGTACTTAAGTAAGGTGAAGTTTTATGTTCTAATCTATAGAGAGATATTAGTCTGCGTCATAGTATTAACTATTATCATACTAACGCTATCTTTGTCACACGCACAAAAATATATATACATATATATATAAAAAAAATTTTAAAAAAAACTAAATTTGTTATTATTATTTTCTCATAAACTTTTTTCAAATCTCTCTTCTTCTCCACTCTCTTCTTCAACCAAACCTCTATGACTACAACTTCTTTTGCTTCCTCAAAAAAAACTTCTTTTTTTTTTAATTATATATATATATATAACAGGTACACCTAATGTCCTCAAAAAAAAACAGGTACACCTAATGTGTCTACTACTGAACCTCTCGGATTTAGTTATTTATTTTCAAATCTACTCAAATCCCATTCTTCTTTTGTCTCCCCAAATTGTCTGCCCACAAAACCTACTCACTCACTCTCTTTCATCTTCTACTGGTTCCTCTTCTTCTTCATCCAATGAAAACAATCCAAGTGACAATCTATCTTTCAGCATAGAAAGGATCTAAATTACCAGTAGAAAAACCCATATTTTTTTACTTTTATTCCATATCATATTTTCATTTCTGCTACCTACGATAGTAATGTAAAGTTGTAATGTAATAAACCAGAGACCCATAATGGATTTGATTTCAAAGAGAGGTGGTTTCACCCAGATTCATTCATGCATTTATTAAAACAAATACAACTAATTTTGAAATCATTTTGGGAAAACCAATGGCAGCATCCAGGTCGATGAGGAAGGGAGAAATTGTGGAATGGCCGTCAGCAAGAGACATTGGTAGTGAGGCATAATTGTGGCGTGTAATGGCAAAAGTCTGGTGGTTGTTTCGTTGAAGTGATGGTGGAAGTTTGGAAGATAGATAAGACTGTTTAGTTGCAAATAGTTTTGTTGAGTTCAACCGAATGAAATACTATCCATCACAGTACAAGGAGAAATCCATCAAACCAAGAAATCAACAAATACATTGATTGCATACAGCAAACAATAGTAGTGAAGACTGCCTAGGCTTTAATCACCAATTACACTTGATGACTACTCAATCGGCACAATAACCGCTGGTTATAATTTAATAAACTCATTGTAATGAAAAGACAATATTGTTACAACTGTATGCAATAAACTTTCGTATTGTCCCTATCTTGACAAAAAAATTACCAATATTCAACTCAACAAGGCCTCTAACCAACAAAACTTGACATCCTATGAAAATGGTCCTGAGTTGAAACATCTGAAGCAAAGCTGCTTCCCTTTTGAAGCTTCAAGATTCCTCGAACTGCAAAATTATTATGTTTTCACAAAACCAGTGCGTCATTTAACTTTAATCCTCTTCGCGTTCATACTTTTTGTAGCTTTGCCATTACTTTTCTTCTTCTGCCTCTGTCCACTCTTATTGTGCTCCTCTGGTCTTTCATGTGGATTCACATCCTTGAATGTAATTGGTTTTATGATCACACCAGCTTTCTTCACCACCTGTAACAAAAGCATCAACTGAGAATAGATATAAAAGCCAAACCATTCTTGAAAGCCTTGACAGGAACCCAATGTTCTTTCCTCATAACATGAACGTAATGCACATATAGAAGCAACACGTGATAAAATATAAGAATAAATATACTACACAACAAAAAAAATAAAATAAGTTGTAAGGAACGCACTTCTGGCCGATTAAGAGCTCCAACTGCTGTCACTGGGTTGAATTCAGGTCCAATAGGCATTCGGATGCTCTGTTCAAACACTTCTTTAGATGTGTATGGGTACGGCAATGTCTTTGTAAGCAGTTTTTCAGCCTGCCAAGTCCAAATACATGAGAAGATGCCATTAATCAATGAAACCATATAAAAGCGCTTCTATACATATGATATCTTCTATCCGCAACACTGGACACTTGCAAATGTTTACCTCAACTGGAAGACCTTGTGGATCAACCAACTAAGAAGGTAAATTCCATTGTCTTAATTTTTTTTATTAATTTAGCTCCCATACAAATAGGATTTCTTTTTTAGTGGGGCAAAATAACAAATACAACCTGATCCTTTAACTTGACATCATACAACAGAGAGATTCTTTCTGTATTGCCAAATTTCCAAATATGTCGATTGTCAAGTTTCAGATTCATAAATTCTTTAATTGTGAAAAATTGATCACACATTCATCTTATTAAATTGTTGACCAAAATTTGCAAATTTTCAACTACACTAACAGCTTGTCTTATTCCTTTGCTCAATTTTCCTACTCAGAAACAGGAATATACGACCATGCAAGAATTTGTTTTGATTCCCCTTAGGCGTCAACCATCTAATTTTTTCTTCAGTGAACTCCGTATTCAATTGCAATGCACAAAGTAGAAATTCAAGGAAGTCTAGTGAAACTTAAAATCAAGATTCCTCACCTTCTTATCCAACTTCTCAGAGATGATCACATGTTTAAGATTAGCATCCTTCCTCTTTTTAAGAACTTCATCCCTCTTCTTTTTGGCACTCTCATGCTCTTCTACCATCCAAGAGGGTAAGCCCTTCTTTTTCTGTATGTGAGTCCACTGGCCCCAGCCAGGGAGTAAAACAGGTTTTTCAGGTTCAGGATTTTCTTCATTCAACACATCCTCTTTATCCTTCTCAAAATCATCTTCCACATCATCTCCTGCAAAAGCACGTCGTATTAAATCTGCTTGAGATGGTAGTTCATAAGTTGACTTTGTGCCAGAGGTCAAAATTCCATCCACCATGTGTCCCTCACTGTCTGAATCACAGTCGTCCCCTACTTCCTTCATAGATGAGAACATAGGCAGAATGCAAAGGTCAGGGAGACAATCAATCATATTAAAGTGCAGATCAAACAGTGCCAGAGATAATACCTCTATATCTTGGTCATGCAAAACAGGTTCCACTATCTTTGAAGAGTTCTTGATATTGGCATCTACTTTTTTCTCACTTTTGATCTGCTCATTATCTTTTCTCGAATTTTTTTTCACCTGTTCAGTACTTGAATAACAGTCAGAATGAGAAGTAATGATTTCTCTGTATGAAAAAAAAAAAAAAACAAACAAACAAAGAAACTAGCCTTTTTCCATGAGTCTGATGCGAAAATAGCCACGTCATATGTTGTCTTGGGTGCTGTGCCTTTGACAATTTCATCAAAACTCTTCAAACCATAAAAATGTAATTCTTGTCACACTCACAGAGATAGAAAGAGAATACTTAAAAGTAAAGGTTAACAAACCAAAAATTCAATCACCTTAAACACAGGATCATGACCAATCTCAGACTCTTCACGAAATACAACAGTATCAATGTTAACATCCTTCAGAAATTTATTATTTGTGTCTTGTTCAGCATCAATACCTTCTCTGCCCTCCAAATTGTCTTCACTATCACTACTACCATAATAATTATCAACTTTAATCTTATTCTTATTACTTGATTCTTCAACCTGCTTCTTGCGAGCACCAAAAACCCGTCTACCACTTTTAGTAGTTCCTGTTTTTACTTTTCCTTCCACCTCCTTATCCTCCAATTGCTTCAATGATGATTCATACTCTTCAAGAGCAAGCTTAGCTTCTTCATCGGCTGCCTCTTTTCTCTTTCTCAACCCACGGACCTATGTCAATAAAATTAAGCAGAAAAATAAGATAATATGAATAGATAGAAGATAAACAGTTTCACACCCAAAAGGAACATCCAAGTTAGAAGGAGGTAGAAATATAGAACAAAAAGAATGATGTCAAAAAGAATGAGAAGAAATAAATAAAAGGGGTAATTAAAAATATGAATTTTTTGAGATAATTGACAATAATGCACCAAAGATTACCATGAAAGGTAAAGAAAGCACTCCAGATTTAGGCACTTCATCCTCTTCTTCTATTACTTTAAGTGTCTTCTCTTTTGCTTTCTCTAATAATTTTGATGCACGATCCTGGTCTGAAGTATCCAAAATATCATCACCATCGTCCTCATCACTGCTGTCATCACCATCGTCATCATCACTGCTGTCCTTCATAGAGTTCATTTTTCTAGTCAAGAGAGCATGCTGATGGAGCTGCTCAGATATAGCAGCTCGAGTTCCTTCATCTTGGACACTCAAACCACGCTCTAAAATTCGCTTTGCCCATTTGGAGCTGTTTTTGTGCTTGAGTGTCATGCGTTCCTGTATCAATGTCATGGGGGGAAATGGACAAACAATGAACATCTTATCTATTTAAGAACCAAGGGGGGGTGGGGGAAACAAATTATTAACACCAGGCTCTTGAAAATGCCAACATGAATTGGTGCTAATTACCTCAGCCCTTTTGAACTCTTGCTTCATTGCAAGTTCTTTAGCAGCTTCTGGGTTCATTTCCATTTCAGCAGCTGCTGCTTTCAATCTATCCTTATTCAATACACGACGATATGTTTTGGACTTGATTTTCTTTATGTGCTTGGCCTTCATTTCATGGCGGAAAAGAAGGCTACGCATTTTAGCAAGACGGTTCTGACGGTCCTTCACATCTTCAAAAGATATCTGCCAATCATCGTCCACAATAAAGAAAACAACTGACAAACAGTCAGATTAACCGCGGTCACAAGCAATGGTATAACGAAGGATGCATCAAAAACTTAAAAAGTAGAAAAATCTATGTCCGCTGTAAACATATTGAAAGATCTCCTCTATAAAGGCCAACGACAAATATATATAAGATTTCCTTTGATATATACAAATTCTTAACAATTTTTTTGATCAACTAAATTTGTTAAATGAAAAGGAAAAGATACAAAAGAAGTATTAGGAGACAATAAGTCTACCAAAAAATGAAAAAAAATGCAACAAAAACATCATGAACTACATATGGCTATCCAATCTCTAAAAATCAAAAATAAAGAAATCCCCTTGAAAGCAGGAGACACCAATACCCATATAATAAAGCCAAGTAAACAATCTTATCCCATTAAATCTTCAATTTTCTCCTTGAAAATTCTAGCATCATTCCTTTCTAACCATAAAACCCACAAAAACCACACACATCTGCAAAGAGCCCGAGCTTTGTCACTAGAACCGAAGCCTCCAAAATCAATACATAATAAATGAACACAAGTAAATAGAACTACCCATTCCATATCCACACTCCAACATAAAAATAAATCTACAAGACAATGCAAGAATAAATGACAAGCAAATATGATATAAATAAATTAAAGGTGCATAATGGCGCAACCTCTGTATGTTAGGAGTAAACAAAATAAAGACAAAAAGGCATCCAAATAGGTTTGTGTTGTCTCAAACTTTAGGGAAAAGGGGGGAAACAAATCCCCAAACTTGCCCATTTGCAGACAATTTCAAAATACAGTTGGAAAAATATATGGCTTTGCAAATTCCATGTGTGGTACATGGCTGGTCTTGAGCAAGTCCTCTAATAAATCATGCAGAGTAACTGAAGATAGTTTCTCGTGAATCAAAATAATTGTACACAGGAACCCACTCTCCATCTCTCTTGAAAACACTGCTAGCATTTGCACAGTTAATTTCAATCACAAGCTGACTGAAAATAATTTTCACGCAAATGTACCACAGTTCAATTTCTTATGAGCAAAATACCACAACTTTTACTAAAATTTCAGCTCTAAAAAAAAGATTCATAATGGATCAGCATAAATGAACAAAATCAGCAAAATGACGATTCCATGCAAAATTAAAGATGTTCAGCAAATTTTTTGAAAAAACTGAATTATCAACATGCCAATTTGTCAAATCTGTACAATATAGCACTAATAACTACCATTTTTTCTTTGACTGAACCATTATATCAATAAACTTGCAATGAATGATATCTTAGCAGTGAAAACACAATAACCAAATAAGACAGATACCACACTAAATTTCATGATTAACAAATGTAGAACCTCCATACCTTGTTCAGTTCTAAAAGCCTTGCACCATCTTTCTTGTGAGCTTCCACAACGCCACTATCATTAACCAAGGAAGCAATTTTTTTCTCAAACTCACTTCTAGGTTCAAATTCAGAAGCTATTGCACCTACAGAGGAAAAGCCCAGGTCTATGTCTTCATCAAAAAAAAGAGTTGATGCCTCCCTATTTCCCTTGACTATAGACTCCCACTTTGAAATACCCTTCTTTGAATGTTTATAAGTTAATTGCCTGTCCAACTTCTCCTGATCTGCTTTTGGAAGCGGAGCATGAATGGGCACAGACTTTTTCTCCATTCGATGCACACTCTTTGTTAGTTTGCTGAAGCCAGACTTCCCATGGAGAGGATCCAGAAGGTCCTGAATGTTAATGTGGCCATCACCATCAAGAACATCACGACTGGGATTATATTCAGACTCTGGGTATGCCTCAGATATGACAACATCATTTTTCCTCTTCTTACCTGTCAAAATCATAAAATCTTGCAATGAAAGCAATAGAAACATGATTTCCAGACACCATACAAAACCTACTTGAGGCACATGACCTTCAGAATAAGATTTTCTAATTCAATTGCCAATCAAAATGTCTCCCTACCATTTAATCTTACCAATAACCATTCAACAGCAATGTAGTTCAAAGTAGATCGCTTAAGACATAAAATAAAAATAGTGGATATAAACAAATGGCTTAAATATAAAAATCTTTCAAGGTCTGAACTATATACCCTTTAACTTTCTTCCTAAAAGTGTAGAATTAGTTTAACAATGACATCTAATCATATGAACTTATGAAGCCCTAAGCTGGTATGACACTGACAAGGCATATTCCAGGCTTGACCCCAATGGTCATTACAGGCCCCAGATCCTGTAATGTGGTTCGAGTGCAGCCCAACGCGAGAAACTTTGATGACTAATGTTACCTTCGAAAGCCTCAGCTGGAAGTCCAGTGATTTCTTGCAACATCCTAGCATGCCTGCCTTCATCTTCCTCTTCAACCTCATCTCCTTTCCGATCTTCCCTACTACCATTGGCGTCACCATCATCCTCGTCATCATCTGATGCTACATTCTCATCCTACACAAAAGAAACATAAGGACTGAATAATTTACACATTAACAGGAAATTCAACAAATTGACATATTCAGCTTTTTAACAGAGTGAACCTAGTCTTCTGAGCCGCCCGGTGGGTGGGGGGGAGACCTCTCTAAAAAAAATTCAGATCACAGAAGAAAAGAAAAGAAAAGGTAGGGAAGCTAAACTAAACCCTTTCATCAACTTGTTCTATCGGTTTGGAAATATGATAATTATGGCTCAACCTCATCCAAATCTGCTCCATTCTTAATTCAAATCCAAATTTCATCCATTTACATATCCATCAACATCCAGAAGGTCAGGCACACCACAATATGACATGAAAATTTGAGGTTGCATTTGGATTTATGGGTTTCAGATTAATACATTTGGCATCATTCATTCAAGGAGTGTATCTTATAAATTCAGTGTAGTATTTTAAATTTAGATATCAAGAATGGATTCAAGAGCTGTAGAATGATGGATTTGAAATAGTTGGTAAATATAGTTTACCTGAAATCCTTATATATATTCACCCAAAAAAAAAATCCTTATATGAATTATTCTTATACTGGGATCTTATCAAAATGCAACTCCCTCCTATCTATATTCTCTATTCAATCACCTATTCTAATATTATCAATCTATACATGCAATAGATAACCTTCCTACAATTTTATGAAATTTCTTCCTCAAATCCTTTCATTTCAAATCCACCCATCCAAATGGAACCTAAATGTAAATGTAATGGTAACTAAACAAATTAAGGATAATCTAAACGTATTCTTGTAAACAAAATTAGAAAAAATGTCAAAATTACACATCCCAAACATTAATTACTAGCTCCCAAATAAATTAAACAATCAACTAAATTAGAAATCATATTTGCAGTTCAAAAAAACGCTATGTTTGGATTGAGTGATTTGGAGAGAAAAGAAAAGAAACGGAGAGATATGTATTTCTCTTACTTGTTTGGATAACCTATGTGGAGAGAAATTGAGAGAAATAGAAAGAAACTCATTTATCTTATGAGCATCATTTTCAATCTTTCTAAAAGTGGAGAGACTGGGAGAGAAAAGAAACTACTATTTTCATAATACCAATTTTGTCCCTATAAAAATAAAAGAAATAAAATGATTGAAAATATAAAAAGGTTATTTTAGTAATATAACATAAAATAATTTCTTTTCGTTTCTCTTAATGAAATCTAACCAAACAAGAATGAGAAAAATTACAATCATTTCTTTTCTTTTATTTATTCCTTATCCAAATAAAAAAGAGAGAAATCACAATCATTCCTTTTCTTTTCATTTCTTTTCTCTTATAACTTAGTAATCATTTCTTTTCTTTTTTTTCTTCTAGCGCTATGTTTGGAATCTTAGGACAGAAAAGAAAAGAAATGATTAATTAAGTAATAAGAGAAAAGAAAAGAAAAGAAAAGAAATGATTGTAATTTCTCTCTTTTTTGTTTGGATAAGTAAGAAATAAAAGAAAAGAAATGATTGTGATTTCTCTCCTTCTTGTTTGGTTAGATTTCATTAAGAGAAAAGAAAAGAAATTATTTTATGTTATATTACCAAAATAACCTTTTTATATTTTCAATCATTTTATTTCTTTTATTTTTGTAGGGGTAAAATTGGTATTATGAAAATATAAACATTTGTGGATTTCTTTTCTCTCCCAATCTCTCCACTTTTGGGAAGATTGAAAATAAGGGTTATGAGAGAAATGAGTTTCTCTCCATTTCTCTCTATTTCTCCTCATTTCTCTCCACTTAAGATAACCAAACAAGGAAGAGAAATGCATTTCTCTCTATTTCTTTTCTTTTCTCTCCAAATCACTCAATCCAAACACAGTGTAGGTTCCCAAACACAGTGTTAGTTTATTTTCTGCAAAATTTTCAACAACTGATCATTTTCAATCCATACCTTTTCCTTAAATCAAATTTGAGTGCCAATCTAATAAAAAGCTTGATCTGATATAAGACACTCCAATCCTTACTCTTTTTTTCACAATCGTTCTGGAAAATTCCAAAATAAGCCTAAAAACCTGTTTTAACCATTTTTGTTAATGAAATAAAAGCATCTTCAATCCTAAGTCATTTTAAAATTTCATCGAATTTGATTAAAACTATGACTGTTGGGAATTTGGTGAAAGATTTGGTTCATACTTGATTTGGTGAAAAAACTGCCCTAGTTGGAGCACACTTTTAGCCAAATTTTCATCAAAATTTGAATTTGATAGAAAAAAATTTGAAAGAAACCGACCTCGAATTGCTCCGGGAGCTCATACTCGAAGTTGTCAACAGGGTCGTATCTCCGATTCTTCCGCGATTCTTCCTCGGGGATCGCTTCCTCATATACGTACACATCGTTGGCGTCATCGGAATCGATCTCTTCGTCGTCGTCGCTGTTCAAAGGTTTTCTAGGGTTCATGTGCTCGACCTCCTTCCTCAACGCATTCGGCAAGCGAGGCCCAATCCTTTTCCTTCTCTCCCCATACTTGTTCTTGTAGTTCTTGTTGTTGTTCTTGTTTGGGTTGGTTAGAGTTTTGGAATGTGAAGGTTTACTGTTCTTATTCTTCTTCATGGCTAGTCCTCTGTTATCGTCTCTGGTTTTTCTCTTCTTCTCAACCATCCCTGTGAAGCGGGAGAGTAACAGAAGGGCGCTATGTTTCACTTCCAGGAAGGGTTTAGGGCACCAAAAGGACGGTGATATTTTTTATTTCACGGACAACCCCTTAACTAATCTTAAATATCATTTAAGACCATCTCCGACGGTCAAACAAAACCATTACCATTTGGTGAAAAAAAAGTAATTTTTTTTTGCTCTAATAGTTTCATCAAACTAATATCAAAATGAGAATCGTCCAAAAATTTCAGCAAATTGAGGAGCTGGACAGATTTCACCAAAACACTGTGCATTTACATTGGAGGTAAGTTCTACCAGACGACCGGCCAGATGTCCTCTTGAATAACCAGCTTAAGCAAAATTTTGTGAAAATTTTACACTAGGAGGTCAACCACCTCTTTGTTTTCTCAGTTTTTTATTTTTTGCATTGGTCGGACCCGCTTGACCGGTAGTTTGACGAAAAGTTAAATTTCTCCGTTGGAGCAGGTGATATCAAATAAAGGAAATCGTTTTTTTTTCTTCTCAGATTTGATGAAAAATTTGATGAACGATTGGAGATGCTCTAACACCCCTAATTTTCAACAAATTTTTTTGGACAATTAAAAATTAAATAATAAAAAAAACAAGGTTTAAGTCTTGTAATTGTAATAAAATAAATTGTGAATTTTTTATTTTATCAATTTAAATTATAATTTTTTGATTTATTTTTAATTAAAATCGATAATATAGAGAAAATATCATTTTGCTCCCAAATTATAATTCAAAAATCAATTCAACCCATATTATTTGGGCTCTTTTTTCATAAATCCTATTCCTAACAGTTTTATTCCATAAAATCCAAATCATTTTTTATTATTCCATTAGATCCATTCATTATTAAAGGACGAAATAACCCTCCATCCACTTCTCCCACATCTACTCCATTCTGAAAACGAACCATTCATATTCCATCTATTCAATCCACAAAACACTGATTTCCCAAACAAAATCTCATCGTCGACCCCAAAAAATTATCAAACCGTAACCCTAGATTCACATCGCCTCACCACCGTCATCGTCCATCGTCTACTGTCGTCGGCCACTGCTATTCTATTTTATCTCACCGCTGCGAAGGTTTACATCGGAAGGAGGGTGGTTCGTTGTTTTGTGTTTCCCGTCGGTCGACTGAGTGTGGTCCATCAATTTCCGTACCCACTCACAATGAGAAACAAAAGTAAGCAACATCATTTCACCTTCTGTTTTTCAGTCATAATGTGATCACCAATGTATATATTTACATTGTCGTATTACTGTTGTTGTTTTTAGATTTGATTTTGTAAACATAAATGATGTTAACATTCACATTACTGTTCATTAATGGATAAACTCACAGTAGTAGACACTGGCGTAAACATTGGCAGCAGTGTATAATAATGTGAATGTTCACATTACTGGCATTGTTGGTATTGTCGATTGTTGATGTCCCCAATCTTCACCCAAAATGTGATGGAATATGATGTAAATATTCACATTGTGACATCAATGTCAAACTTGTTGGTGTTGTTAGGTGTTGTTAGTTCCATCCTCTGTTTTTCAGCCAATGATAACATAATATGATCACCGATGTATATATTTACATTGCCTTATTACTATTGTTATTTTTGGATTTGATTTTGTAAACATCAATGATGTTAACATTCACATTACTATTCATTAATGGATAAACTCATAGTAGTAAACACTGATGTAAACATTGACATCAGTGTATAATAACGTGAATGTTCACATTACTGTCATTATTGGTATCGTTGATGGTTGATGTCCGTAGAACCCCCAATCTTTACCCAAAATGTGATGGAATATGATGTAAATATTCACATTGTGACATCAATGTTAGATTTGTTGGTGTTGTTGGGTGTTGTTGGTTTCATCTTCTATTTTTCAGCCAATGATAACATAATGTGATCGCCGATGTATATATTTACATTGCCTTATTACTATTGTTGGTTTTGGATTTGATTTTGTAAACATCAATGATGTTAACATTCACATTACTGTTCATTAATGGATAAACTCACAGTAGTAGACACTGGTATAAACATTGACATTAGTGTATAATGATGTGAATGTTCACATCATTGTTAATTTCTCAATCAGTCATATTATGTTATTGTTCACATCAATGTGTATTGATGTAAATATTGACACCAGTGTTTTGCTCATGTTAGCACCAAAACAAATGTGGAACACACATTACTAGGCAATGGTGTGGAAGTTGACATCAATGATGTGAACATTCACAGTACTGTTTAGTAATGGATAAACACATATTAGATCAGTTAGTGAGTAAATATTCAAATTGTGACATCAATGTCAAACTTGTTGGTGTTGTTGGTTGTTGATGGTCATGAACTAATTACAGTCCAAACTATGGATGGTTGCTAACCCTATTTTGGCCTCGTTTGGGAACATGCTAATTTAGTAACTTTTTTGCTATTTGCCTAAAATATGGGCTAAAAAAAATTAGTATGTTTGGGATGATTTTTTGACTTTTTACGAAAAGATGTTCAAAAAGTAGAGAGAAAAGAGAATCTTTAACTTTTTGGTATGGGTTATTGGCTTTTTGGCTTTTTTAGTAACTTTTTGACTTTTTAACTAAACCAGTCGCTTCCCAAACGAGGCCTTTGGTTACATGTGAATTCTTGTAGGCATGTTAAATAATAACATCATATTATTTCAGTTGTTATTTATTAACATCAATGTCAATATGCACATTCTGAACATAATGTTAATATTCACATTGTACCATTCTGAACATAATTGTAATATTCACATTGTGAATATAATGTTAATATTCACATTGTCACATTCACATTGAATATTCACATCATATATTTGGCTGTGAACATTCACAGTCAAACATATAAGTGTAATGATGTGAAGATTAACATCGTGTATACATTGTGTTAGTTTAATAATTATAATGTGTGATTGTTCTCACCTCTTCGTATGAATTTTGGTTTGTCATGTGCTATCATTTCTTCACATGAACATTTGCACCAGCTATTCACATATTATTTCACCATCACAATCCCATTATTCACATGGCATATAATAATTTACACTTATTATCACTATTCGCTTGTGAACAGTAATATTAAATTTGTTTGTATTTGAACAAACAGGTCTTTCCTGTAGATTTGATGGCAAAAAAATAGAGAGAAATCCCGTGCCAAAGGCAAACCCGATCAAACAGCTAGTCCCGAACAAGCGAACATGAAAAAAGTCAACAACCGATCAAATATCACTGGATTGTTGAAACTATTAGAGGCTACGAAATTTACAAATGGTCAATTGAAATGCCTTAGGAAAACATCATTTTGGCCCTTATTTGATTGTTTGATCAGTAATGAAGTTGATTTCAACCATTGCATGAAATACAATGATGTCATTGTACGTATAGTGCTGACATTCAAGCCATCTAGTGGGAGGTTTTACATCGGGGACAAGAGCATTCAAATTTTTAGAAGTGATGTATCACTTATTTTTGGTGTAAACTGCGGTACCAAGCTAATGGACCTCTCTTATGGTGCAAAACCAACGGCCGGCATCATACACCGAATGTGCAAGGATGTCAATCAGTTAAGTGCAGCAAAAATACATGAAATTCTAAACGAAGCATTAAAGGGCACAAAGAAACAAGACAATGAAGAGGTTGCAAGATTAGTTTGCATGTATGCATGCGTCAAATTATTCTTTTCCACGTCCGGAGAAACAATTGGATGAGCATTCTATTCATACATAGACCCATTAGACAACATGTTCGAGTATGACTGGGCTGAGAGCATCCAGGCAACCCTGATGGGGTCAATGGGCCAAAACTGGGGAAATCCAGGACGAGTCACCGTATGTGTTATGTTGTTAATGGTAAATCTCATAAATCTTATTCTATATTTAATACGAACATTCACGGGGTCTGTCCACTCATATTGTCAGTAAAACAAATGTGACATACGCATCGGTACGCCCTAGTGGCAAGGTTGGCATAAGTACACACTAATGTGAATGTTCACGACAGTGTGGAATGTTAGGAACATTCACATCAATGTGTATTGATATAAACATTGACACTAGTGTTTTGCTCATATTAGCACCAAAACAAATGTGGAACACACATTACTAGGCAATGGTGTGGAAGTTGACATCAATGATATGAACATTCACATTACTGTTCATTAATGAATAAACTCACAGTAGTAAACATAGGTGTAAACATTCATATCAATGTATGATAATGTGAATGTTCACATTACTGTTAATTTCTCAATCAGTCATATTATGTTGTTGTTCACATCAATGTGTATTGATGTAAACATTGACACTAGTGTTTTACTCATGTTAGTACCAAAATAAATGTGGAACACACATTACTAGGCAATGATATGGAAGTTGACATCAATGATGTGAACATTCACTTACTGTTCAATAATGGATAAACACACATTAGTAGACACTGGTGTAAATATTCACATCAGTGTTTATTGATGTTTGTTATTTGTTTCAGTACTAGTTGTGTAAGCATACAACCATCTTACAACCCCGCAAACCTAATGCCATTTTGCGGTGTTGTAGCTCGACTTTTTCGCGCCCTCCTTTCGGAAGTTTAAATAAGCCTTCACAGTATCGGACTCTACCTGTGGTTCTGAATCTGATTTCACAAGTGTCATGTGAAATAGTGAAAACATAGAAAGAATCCAAATCCGGCAATTCTTTTTAGAAAATCAATGTTTGAATCAAATGTCAAAAATGGACTACTTTGCCAGATTTACAGAGTCGCCACCTGAATATTTTGTTTTGAAAAATTTAGGAAACCCATGACTCGTGCCGAAGGCCACTTATTCGTCATCACCAAGATTGTCTCAATTCGGGAACTTAGGTACGAGAGGGGAAGGTCATGAATGCATTTGAGCACCCCTGCTCGCCTGGTCAAAGATCGGCCTTTACTAATCATGATGCAATTCTTATTCACATTATATGCTCTTGTTCCAATTATTAGGCTAACTTTACTATGTGATACATACAGGTATAGACTAATTTTGCAAC